GAATGACTTGACTGACTTATTGAGTGACTTGACTGACTGACTAATGAATGACTTGACTGACTGAATGACTTGACTGACTTACTGAGTGACTTGACTGACTGACTTAATGAATGACTTTACTAACTTACTGAGTGGCTTGACTGACTTACGGAATGACTTGACTGACTTATTGAGTGACTTGACTGACTGACTAATGAATGACTTGACTGACTGAATGACTTGACTGACTGAATGACTTGACTGACTTATTGAATGACTTGACTGACTTACTGAGGCCTGGTCACAGACCGGGCCGCGGGGGCGTTGACCCCCGGAACTCTCTCCAGGTAAACTCCAGGTAAACTTAGTGAGTGACTTGACTGAGTGACTTGACTGACTGACTGAATGACTTGACTAACTGAATGACTTGACTGACTGAATGACTTGACTGACTGAATGACTTGACTGACTTATTGAATGACTTGACTGACTTACTGAGTATTTTGACTGACTTAGTTAAATTAATAATAACTATGATTATTATTATTTATTATTATTATTATTATTATTATTATTATTATTATAATAACGTACACTGGCAACTCAGTGCACTGTTTACCTCGCTGTGGGAGCAGTTTTCTCCTGCTTTGCTTACATTTTTAAGTCATTTGGCCGAATTTAGTTTTTCTAAGCATGGGTCCTAAGAAAGTAAGTGTAAAGGAGAGTGCTGAGAAGAAAAAGAGAATGATTTCCATGGGATTAAAGCATGAAATTATAGATAAACAAGCGAGGTGTCCAGGTTTTTGGTTGAGGGGGAAGAGGGGTGGGGGAGCTGGCTCGTAACTCAAATGTTGGCTCGTAACTCAGAGAAAAAAATCGACCCAGGGACGGCTCATATCTCAAAAAACTCGTAAGTTGGGACACTCGTAAGTCAAGGTTTCCCTGTACTCGCAAAAATAAAAAACTACATCATTTCATAAGAATTTTTTTTTTCCGAATATTTTTCGACCCTGAGTGGGAATTAAGGATCGAGGCTCTCAACCCTGAAAGGGTTAAAGAGCAACTGTCCTTACTGTCTAATGGTCATTACTGACACTTTCACATTCTCCCTACCCCTCCCTTATATCCACATCAAACACCCCTCACATCCACATAAAACACCCTTCACATCCACATCACCCACCCACACATCCACATCACCCACCCCTTACATCCACATCACCCACCCTGACATCCCCATCACCCACCCTCACATCCACATCACCCACCCTCACATCCCCATCACCCATCCTCATATCCAACACCCACCCTCACATCCACATCACGTACCTTCAAAATTTGATTCACTAACACTCAGCTGAGTACATGTACAGTGGACCCTCGACTAACGCTATTAATCCGTTCCTGAGAGCTCATCGTTAGTCAAAATTATCGTTAGTCAAGTTAATTTTCCCCATAAGAAATAATGGAAATCAAACTAATCCGTGTAGGACACCCCAATGAAAAAAAATTGTTTTTACCACATGAAATATTAATTTTAATACACACAAACTGAAGAAGACGTGCACAGTTACATGACACTTACCTTTATTGAAGATCTGGTGATGATTGATGGGATGGGAGGAGGGGAGGGTGTTGATGGTCTTAGTGTTTAGAAGGGGAATCCCCTTCCATTAGGACTTGAGGTGGCAAGTCCTTTTCCGGGGTTACTTCCCTTCCCTTTAAATCTCTCAAACCAACCTTTCCTGGCCTTAAATTCACTCACATCACCACTAGTTGCTGGCATTTTTTTAATTAAATTGTCATGCAACTTCCTAGCCTTTTCACATATGATCGCTTGAGAGATGCTATCTCCTGCTATCTGTTTTTCGTTTACCCACACCAATAACAGTCTCTCAACATCTTCGAGTACTTGCGATCTCAGTTTCGAAAACATAGTTGCACCTTTGGCAAGAACAGCTTCCTTGATTGCCATTTTCTTGGCCACAATAGTAGCGATGGTTGATTGGGGTTTTGTGTACAACCTGGCCAGCTCGGAGACACGCACTCCACTTTCATACTTAGCAATAATCTCTTTCTTCATATCCATAGTAATTCTCACCCGTTTTGCTGTAGGGTTGGCACTAGAAGTTTTCTTGGGGCCCATGGTGACTTATTTTGCAGGTGCAATCACTAAAAAGGCTGTGATAATATGAAATGTTCCGAGTGTATGCTTGGAAGCAACTGCGGTGGCTGGCTGGCTTGTAAACACTGGCCAGAAGTGGACGCATCTCAGAAGGAACTAATAGTGTTGGTCGAGTTTTTTAGCGCTAGCCGAGGCAAAAATTTTGCGTTAAAATGTATTGCTAGTCGGATTTATCGTTAATCGATGCCATCGTTGGTCGAGGGTCCACTGTACTTATAAGACATGTATGCACAGAGAACTGACATTGTGGAAGGTTGTTAACATTACTAGTGAGACTAGGTCTCCCACATAAATAATGGGATGTTAACATTACTAGTGAGACTAGGTCACCAACATAAATAGTGAGAGGTTGTTAACCCTTGAGGGTTGAGACGCCCTCTCCCAAACTCGTTCTCAGGGTCGAAAAATTTTAAGAAAAAAAAAAATAAATTTTTTCTTGTGAAATGATAGAGAATCTTTGTCCGATCGTAATGACACCAAAAGTATGGAATTTGATAAAAAACTTTTGGAATTATGCTCTTGCGAAGTTAGCGGTCTCAAAGTTGGCGATTTTGCCCACTTTGGGCCCTATTTTTGGCCAATTCCAATGTTGCAGTTGACTAAAATCATAGCTATTTCCCTAGAACTCCATTTGTTCTATTGATTGAGTACAAGAATTCACCCATTTGCCTATTTCAATTACCCAATAAAGTGGTCAGAAATTGGCAATTTGGGCAATTTCACACAAATTTCAAAAGATGCCAATTTCAAAATAGGGTTCAGAATAAACAAGACACATTCATGGCACTAAAATAGCATTTTATCTGTTCATTAGTCACGTCTCTAGTCCCTCTTACATTACTTTTGCTTTCCATTTTGAATTTTTATTCTCACAGAAAATAGAAAGTTTTCTGTTATGTATACTACTGCATCATTGTAAAAATGGTATAAATGATATCAGCGCACTCATGGAAAGAATATCAGACTTACCTGTTGACATGTATTGGACGCATGACTTGATTTGTTTACTCTTGAATATCGGCAAAAATCAATAATTTTCTCTACTTTGAGCTCAATTTCAAGAACCTTGTCATCGTGAAACCAATCAAAATCATCTCCAAATATATATATCTTCTATTCTATCAAATGAGATCAAGGAAACAAGAATACAACCATAAATACCATACAAAAATTCACTAGAAAGTCGCTGTTTTAAACCAAAAACAGTTGAACTTTTTTTTTTCTCATTATGCACGTGCTTCAGGATTTTTTAATACTGTGCACACTGACCACACAGACCCATTCTTTCATATGTAGGCCTGCCAGCTTTCTTCCACCAGATTTGAAGGCGCTAGAATTTAGGTGTACAGGTATGTGACCGACCCTGGCTGCAATGACGTACTTTTACGTGACAGACCCTTCATTTTAAAGGGTTGGCCCTTTCAAGGTCAGTGTCATACTAGTATGGCTTGCATGCCAGGGTTGGTGCCATACTAGCACTCGTAAATTCTAGCGCCTTCAAATCTAGAAAGCTGGTAGGCCTACATATGAAAGAATGGGTCTATGTGGTCAGTGTGCACAGTATTAAAAAAATCCGACCGTGTTTTTGGTTTAAAACAGCTACTTTGCAGTGTATTTTTGTATGGTATTTATGGTTGCATCCTAGTTTTCCTGGTCTCATTTTATAGAATGGAAGACGTATTACAGAAATTGAGATGATTTTTATTGGTTTCACAATGAAAAGTACCTTGAAATTGAGCTCAAAGTAGCAGAAATATTTGATTTTTGCAAATGTTCAAAAGTAAACAGATCAGTGCACTGATATTATTTATACCATTTGTACACTAATGCAGTAGTCTGCAAAACAGTAAATCTTCTATTTTTTGTGTGAATAAAAATTCAAAATGGAAAGCAAAAGAAACGTAAGAGTGGCCTGGGGAAGTGACTAATGAAAAGAGAAAAATGTTATTTTAGTGCCAGGAATGTCTGTCTTGTTTATTCTAGACCCTATTTGGAAATTGTCTTCTTTTGAAATTTGTGTGTAATTGGCAAAATTGCCAATTTCTGACCATTTTATTGGATAGTTGAAATAGGTAAGTGGGTGGTTTCTTGTACTCATTCGATAGAAAAAATGGAGTTCTAGCATAATAGTTATGATTTTTGTCGACTGGTACATTGGAATTGGCCGAAAATAGGGCTCAAAGTTGGTGAAGCTGCCGATGCGTCAAAATCGTCGAGACCGCTAACCTCACAAGAGCATAATTCCGTTAGTTTTCCATCAAATTTCATACTTTTGGTGTCATTATGATTGGGAAAAGATTCTCATTTTTTTTCCGACCCTGAGAACAAGTTTAGGAAAGGGACTCTCGACCCTGAAAGGGTTAACGTTACAAGTGGGACTAGGTCTCCCACATAAATAATGGGACTTTGTTGACATTACTAGTGAGACTAGGTCTCCTACATAAATAATGGGACCTTGTTAATATTACACTAGTGAGACTAGGTCTCCAACATAAATAGTGGGAGGTTGTTAACATTACAAGTGAGACTAGGTATCCCACATAAATTTTGGGAGGTTGTTTATGTGAAGAGTGATATTAGGTCTCCCACATACTACAATTGCAATGCCTTTAGGCTAACCCATGAGATGGACGGGCAAGGTCCCTCGGCGTGCCATATTTTTCCCTAAATTTGTATCATCTTTTGCACATTTTATGGTGTCCTATTCAAATTTCTGCCAAAATTTCTCAACTATCTTACACAAAAAAATGTGTTGTATAAATGCCTCTTATATACGGGTCTCCTGTATGTACTGTATGTGTGTGTATTCGTGTATTTAATTTGAATATTTTTCCAGATGGCCTGGTGCAAGATCAATGGATTCCTATCCAAACACACCACAACCCATGTACCCAATGCATGATGGTGGCATGGGTGATCCTCCGTCCGTCAGCTCCAACCCCTCCGACTGTGTGTCCACGTAAGTAAACCATCTCATACACGTCATTACAGTAGACATTTCATGAAATGTTTTCTTACTTTGAATGATCTCTGTTAGATTTATTTCTGTTAAGCTTATTCCAGCAACTTTACTCAAGTGGTGTTAATAAATCTTCAACAACTGTAATGTGTAGTAGATCCACATTAACCTGATAAAGGTGTAATATATTCTGTATATAACTACTGCTGTATAATGGTTGCTTCATCTTTGTGCTTTGTATAGTTGCTTGATATGAATCAAGGGGGTGTATTGTTGAAGACAGTTTAACATTGCTATTTTGTTTCTATTAACAACTCAGTTAATTTGTTGTGCAAATGGCTCTTGTGTATGCAGTTGTATCACCTGCAGGCTCGCTATACAGAGGAAATCAACGATATATGCAATTTCTTAGATTTTTGACATGACTCACTCTTATCTACTCACAAATAACCCGCATATAGGAGAGAGGAGCTTACGACAACGTTTTGGTCTGGCTTGGACCATTTACAAAGTCACACTAACAAAAAGGAGAAGAAGGAGAATATATAGGCCTACATGTACTCCCTCCCTCCTCTTCTTTTTGTTAGTGTGACTTTGTAAATGGTCCAAGCCGGACCGAAATGTCGTCATAAGCTCCTCTCTCCTATATGTGGGCTATTTGTGTATTGTTCCAGTCAGAGTATTGTGCCTTTTTTTGTTATCTAATCTACTCAGTTTGAGTTTACCTAGTTTTTACTCATATGCCAATAGAGTGATTAAGTTGTATGTCATGAACATCTTGGAATCTAATACTTTAGATATGTTTTTTGCAATATTTGGAGTCAAGTACTTAATAAAGGTTTCCAACTTTTTTTTTTTTCAGCATATGTGAATGCGCAAATGACTGATGATTTACTTTTATGCAAAATGTATGATCATGGTTTAGACATACTCATGTAAATGTCACACTATCAAGCAGAAATTCCAAAATACCCAAGGTATTAGATTCCATATCAGTACTTGACAGTTTGTTTCATTCAGTTTTCTATGCTGCTTTCTTAACATTATAAGAAATTAAACATTTTTACCTCATGGAATATATTACATTTAATGAGTGTATAATGAATGTTGTATAATTCTATATTTTAATGTTGCACTACAAGAAAGATAAGGGCTGGACAACGTGGCAGTAAATATAGTGTTATGGCTAAAATGAAAACTTACTATATGTTTTAAAACCTGCATGTTTAAATTTCTGTGGTCTGGGTCCATGAATTTGTTGTAGGAAAAGTTACCTGTTGATAGCCCTCCTAAATACTTTTTAGTCATCATCATCTTTTCTGCACCCCTTTCCTGTTTGCATTCTTAATTGTACAAGTGTTAGTAGTTTGTTGATTCAGTTCTTTGCAGACCACAGCATTACTCAGTTACTTGCCTTTGTACTCGTTTCTTCCAACTGGATGACATTGATTCTTATTGCATGACATATTGGCTATGTTCAAGAACAAAAGATTAAGTGTTCATAGTTTAATCTTTTAACCAGGTCCAGTGTACATAAGCAAATGTTGGCTCCGTGTGATGTACTAGTACACGATTTTTCATGCCTTCAAAAACCACCTTCCAATATTTTTGACCTCACTGCAACTCTTTGGGTCTTTTACAGCTTCTTCATACCCTTGGAAAAAAAAAATATAAGACCAGGTGGGTTCACATAGTGCATCACTGTGTGGACAGGCTTAACTAGCATAGGTAAACAATGAAACCAGGATCTGTTGTTCCACCACCAGCTTTCCTACCAACAAACAGGGTGTGGAACTGGCAGGAAGATGCCTTATTCATTCCAGATTTATTACAGTTTCATAATAAGATCAGAATTCTGCCATAAAGTACACATCACTATGTAGATTTAACCCAGGATGACCCAATAAAGTTAAGCAGTGTGATTTATTTCTATGTAATAATAATCATAATACTAGATTTTCTTGTAAATGTGTGTTTGACAGTGGTCTTGAAAACACCTAGGTGTTATGAACGCAGAAATTACATTTTGTGTACATCACCCAAGATATTTCCTTGAACCTTAACCATTTCACTGTCAGTCCCATAATATTACGGCTTGCAAGCCAGTGTCCGTCCTGTAATAGTACGCCAAAATTTTAGCGGCTTCCAGTCTTGCAGGAGAAAATTGGTAGGCCTACTTATGAGAGAATGGGTCTGAGTGGTCAGTGTGTGCAGTATAAAAAAATCCTGCAGCATGCAGTGTATAATGAGAAAATAAACCTCCAACTGTATTTTTCGTTTAAAACAGCGACTTTGCGGTGTATTTTTGTATGGTATTTATGGTTGTATTCTCGTTTTCTTGGTATCATTTGATAGAATGGAAGATATATTACAGAACTAGAGATGATTTTGAATGGTTTACAGACTAAAAGTACCTTGAAATTGAGCTCAAAGTAGTGGAAATGTTTGAGTTTTGCTGATGTTCAAGGTAAACAAAGCACGTCACGCATCCAGTACACATCAACTGGTAGGTCTGATATGCTTTCACAAATGCGCTGATGTTTATTTATACCATTTTTATCAATAATGCAGTATTCTGCATAAAAGTAAATCTATTTTTTTTTTTTGTGAATAAAAATCTAAAATGGAAAGGAAGAGTAATATACGAGGGACCTGGAGACGCGACTAATGAACAGAGAAGATGTTATTTTAGTACTTGGAATGTTTGCATTGTTAATTCTGGACCCTCTTTTGAAATTGGCCTTCTATTGAATTGTGTTTGAAATTGGCCAAATTACCAATTTCCGATCACTTTATTGGGTAGTTGAAATCGGTAAATGGGCAGTTTCTTGTACTCAGTCGATAGGACAGAAGGAGTTCTAGCGAAATAGCTACAAGTTTAGTCAACTGGAACACTGGAATTGGCTGAAAATAGAGCTCAAAGTGGGCAAAATTGCCATTGCGTAAATTTCACCGAGACCACTAACTTCGCGGGAACATAATTCTACAAGTTTTCCATCAAATTTTGTACTTTTGGTGTCATTACCATTGGGAAAAGATTATCTGTCATTTCATAAGAAAAAAATATTTTTTAAAAATTCTTTGACACTGAGAGCAAGTTTGTGAGCAGGAGTCTAGACAGTGAAAGGGTTAATAGTAACATAACTAATTAACTTAGGATAATTCAATTTAGTCAGACATTGTGTTTTATGTCCATGTTTTGAGACGTATTACACTTTGAAATAATTGAAACAATCATACGTATTCCTTGTACATAGTGTTAGAAAACCAGAGTGGTAAAAAATAGAATATAAACAAGTATTCACTAATTTATTCTGTATATTGTAAGTGAAGCAATGTTTAAATACATAAAAGAAATTGGTATACATAGTGTTGAACAATAAAAGCAATTAACAAACTGGAAAACAATCATAATTTGGCATTAGTAAATTGCGACACGTAAATACAGTGGTACCTTGGGTTATGAACAGCTCAAAACTTAAATAGTTATGTAAGTGTATTTATGAAAGTGCCTTTGTAAGTGTATTTTTGGGGGTCTGAAACGGATTAATCTAATTTACATTATTCCTTATGGGAATAAACTTGTTTGGTAGCAGCACTCGAACAGCCTTCTGGAAAGAAAGAAATTCGTATCCCGAGATACCACTGTATTGCCTGTGCATTTATGCTGCTGTTGCTGATGGAAGATTTTTTTTTTTTACCAACTTCAGCTTCTGTAGTTCATCACCACAGGAGCACTCATGGCAAATTGACCTAATAATAATAGTAATACACAAATAGCCTGTACATAGGAAATAGAAGCTTACAATAATGTTTTGGTTTGACTTGGACCATTTACAAAGTCACACTCCAAGTCCAAGTCAGATTGAAATGTAGTTGTAAGCTTCTCTATCTTGTGTGTGTGATTATTTGTGTATTATTCCAGTCCAGTCACAGTATCGTGCCTCTTTGTTCTTTAATAATAGCGAAGTTCACACTACAAAATAATGACCAAATCTGTACTTTCTCATGACTAGACTGAGGAATATTCTACCTCTCTCTGGCTTGAGATATCTTCAAGTCCAAAAGTAAGCATCAGCATTATCGCCAAACTGACACAAAAATGGCAGCATCCACTGCTCCACCTGTAGACTTGTGTCAACACTGGCATTGTTCTAACCTAATTACACAAAAATAATCAAATCAAGAAACTCTCTGTAGTGTGTCTTCTTGTCTTAACTTAGCATACTCTTGTCCTTGGCATGAGATACAACAGAACAGTTTATACCAAACCTACACTAACAGCAGTGTTCATAACTGATATAAAAATACTCGAAAGGCATGTCACTTATTAAGTCCTAACTGATGCACTAATGACTGTGTCCACTAGACATGTTTGAGTTATGTCTAATACAGACCCAAAATATTAAGGGGTACATAGTTCTCCAAATTGATGCTGTGAATATCAAAATGGTATACAATACCTACATGTTGGAAAGTAAGACACATAGGCAACATTTAGGCATCTTTATTCCAAAACGTTTTGCCTACACAGTAGGCTTCTTCAGTGGAGTACAGAAAGTAGACAGGAGCAGTGGAGATGTGAAGACTGCTCCTACCTACTGTCTGTACTCGACTGAAGAAGCCTACTGTGTAGGCGAAACGTTTCGGAATAAAGATGCCTACATGTTGCCTATGTGTCTTGCTTACCAAATTGATGCTGTGAGAATTATGTTTGAGAAAGTCAACTTCTGTAAACTGTAGAGAGAGAGCATGTTATCACCCCAGACTGGCAGGTAAGAAGGATCGGGAAAGGAAGGCCCATGCCCCCATACCAGCTCGATTCAGCTAACATGATCACTCTAGGTCACACTGCTTATTAACTGGTGAAACTTGTCCAATGAATATACTACATAGTATGTGACATTAATAATAAGAGGAACATGTTAAGAAAACTATAAACAATAATTATTGCATTTAATAATGATGCTAATAAGTAAACATGAGTTATTATACAAGCT